GTATGGTTTGATGTGGATTTAGAACTTATGACATGTGTGTATGGTTTGTTGTGAAAATTGTTGTGGATTGTATTCATATTTCGAATGTACATATTTTGAATGTTTGTGAAAATTGATTGGATGAGAGATTTAATTGGTTTGATGTGGATTGTATTCATTTCGAGATGTTTTGGAATGCGTATGAAATATCGTTTGGAGATTTGTATGTACAGTGAGTTGATATGTACAGGGAACTAAATATAATTAGCAATAATTTTTTTATCTGATATTACTTATCGCTGACGGGAACCCCGTCAGCGATATGTATCGCTGACGGGGTTCTATATATATATATATATCATACTTCCTTTAAAAGCACGAGTTCGGGAAAATCTTTTGGTAGACAAAAGTACCATTGAAATTCAAATATTATTTTATTAATTAAGAGTAAGTTAATAAATTGATGAATTCTTATTAGATATGTATGTATGAAGATAATGATGCAGTTTAAATTGAAATGTAAATCTAAATAAAATTATTAAAAATGTCAAATTTGCAAATGCCTGCAAAATAAAAGGCGTATATGTAAAAACCAAATAAATTAATGAGACAAATAATGTCTACCCTAAAGATCGAACATAGAAACAACATAGACCTACAAATGTACATAATATGGATGAGATGTTTACAAAATCGACCAAACAAATTAAAGAAACAAAAGTCGTTCTCAAAATTAAAAAAAATCAAGGAAAATAAAAATCATACTCCCTTTAAAAGCACGAGTTAGGAAAAAGCTTTTAATAGTCAAAATTACCTAGTACTATTTTAAATATTTAATTTAAATTATAATCTATCCTAATCATACTTGTATCCTATCCTAATACCCTATGAACTATCTATACCTCAACAATTTAAATAAGATTAATAAAATATATGAAACAACATTGTAATATTAGTTTATTACATAAAGTATTACAAAAAAGCAAAAAGTTTTAAAAATTAGACAAAATCCCGCAAAAGTTTAAAATCACATAAAATAAAAAGCTAAAAATTTAGAATTTGGCAAAGAAAAGAGTAAGTGTGTGATATTCTTTCATTAAGATATATAAATATAACTTATAATTTAAGGTTGGCAAAGAAAAGAGTAAGTGTGTGATATTCTTTCATTAAGATATATAAATATAACTTATAATTTAAGGTTTACTATCCCTTTTCAGAATGATA